CGTACTCTGAAGGGTCGTGTGTGTTACCGTGGCGATTCTGCAAAAACGGCTGAAGGGAAGCTGGCGCTCTACCAGACGCTAGCTGCATCTCCCGCTTCAATCGTTGCAGCCAATAGCGTTATTTCTTTTGGTCTTTTTGAGGGACACAAGTTGTCGTCGGCAGACGCCGTTAAGGCGTACCTCCAATCTGAGCTGAAAAGCTTGGCTGCCACCTACCCTCGCTTCAAAAGGCCAATCGTTATATAGATTGCGCAAATCGCTGTACGGACGCCCAGAAGCTGGGGCCCATTGGCAACAGTTTTCTCGAAGAGCAGTTGCGTGGAGCAGTCAAGCTTGAAGAATTTGCATCCACCTTCACCGTCCCCACCTTTGGAGGATTGGCCTTGGTTGTCTACGTGGACGGCTTGATTCTCTCAGGACCAAGTCAGTGGCACGAGCCTTTCTGGGAGGCGTTGGGTGAAAAGGTGCTGATAGATGACATTGGACCGTTGGGTCGCTTTCTTGGTCGACACCACTCCACTGTCGAAGTTGATAACAGAGTTCTTTGGCTTTGACATGCGTGCGTACGCTGAGGCTACTGTTCAAGAGTATTTGAGGGTTGCAAACAGCCCAAAGATGAAAGTCGTTGCGTCACCGTTCCTCAGCAAGGGGTTCGTTGGAGCAGATGCGCGTGGTGCTCTGGCAGCTTCTGCCAGCAGCATTTTAATGAGACTCATGTGGTTGGCGCGTCTTGCTCGCCCCGACCTGCTGAGAGTTGTCACTTGGTTGGCGACCATGGTACAGTCCTGGACGCAAGCTTGTGATGCGTACTTGTACCGTGCCATGTGCTACCTCGAGTGCACCAAGAACGCGATGTTGCTTGGGCATGTGCGTGATGCGCCGCAGGATGTGTTAGTTGAACTTTTCGCAGACGCAGACTACTGCGGAGACGACGAGCGCACTCATAGTACCACTGGTGGATGGCTACAGTTGTCTGGCCCGCAGACGTCGTTCCCGTTGGCGTGGCTGTCAAAGCAACAGACGGCTACATGCCGAAGCACGACAAGTATGTACTCTTTGAAGAAGGGTCCTTGTTGGAACAAGCGACCAGAAAGCCGATGCTTTCACTAAAGCAGTCGAACCTGCACTATGGCCCAAAACCCTCCAAAATGTTGGAGTGTGCCTCGATGGCTACACCATCAAACACACCTCAGGCACTGGCCTGAAATTGGACAAGCAGATGGCTTTGCAGCCAGACGCTCCAACGACAGACGTAGCGACAGGGCTCAGGGCACGACGGGCCCTACCCAGCCAGGGTACAAGAAACGGCAGAAACACAAGCCGAAGAGAACCCCACCGTATACAATACCGAACAGCCTTTCCGACACAGCTGGGCAGACCGGGATTCAGAACTGATCCCTAGCCGTCGAGCAGCTCAGGAGTCAGAGGGGGGAGAAGAAATTCCTCGTCTAAAACCATAGCCTGGACATTGTGTACGGACATGGAGCGAAGGGCTTGAGTTCATGCATGAAGGGATTCATAGAAAGCACTTTTGGAGTTTAATCCTGTGCTAGGAAATTGTGCAGTGTGAACACTCACATCACCGGGAATAGACACGTCCGGTTTGGACTGACTGCCAGCTACTTTGGCTCAAGGCATACTTGGAAAAGCTGAGGCTGCTTCGCATGTCGATCGCCGATTCGAGAGCTGCTTCTGCATAGGTATATCCAGGTATCGAGCAATCAACTGAAAATCGATTGATTTGACCTGACCTGAGCATCCTCTTCGTGAGGACGGGGAGCCCAAGCAGGTGCGTGAGGAGATGGGCAAAGAATCGCCCGACTTTGTGGGACTCTTCAAGGAGCTTGAGTTCCTGGACGGAGGCTGAGGGTGACCTTTGAAGTCAGCAGCAGGGGTATAATTAAGGTTTGGGTGAGCAATCGAACAATCAACTTGAATATGTGCTTCATTCCAGGTGTTGACAGCGGCTTCAAGCATGTGGTGCCCGAGGGCCATGACACGAAGCTATACCAGATCCGGAGAGTCAAGGGCAAAACCACAGTCCTGCAGGTGCCAGCCAGAAAAGAATCTTGACGCCAATTTTTCTCAGATCCATTGAGTTGAGGTTTTTGACTTCTTCTTCTTCTTCTTCTTTGAACATTCTGTTCTACATGTACTAGTTGTGGCGGATGAAAACAGACTCAACAGAGACATTGCAAGGCAAGCGCGCAAAGACAAACGCCAACTTCGAATTCAATGCCTTGAAGATTTATCGGACACACGAAAATGTTGGCGGCATATATAGATGGAAAGGAACACGTTCACCCCTAATTTCTACAGCATGAAGGACATGCATGGCAATCGTACTCCCATTGAAAATAAAGCTAGCGCCTTGGCAGATTACCTGTATAGCAAACATTGGAGTCCAATTGCACATCCACCAGCACTGGAAAATCGACCTAAACTCATTCATAATGATTTACCGTATGATACTCTTGATATCACTACTGAAGAAGTAGAAAGTGCAAACGACAAATTGGGAACAAATAAGGCACTAGGACCAGATGGGTGGGTGTATCACAGAACTGTTCAAATTTCTGGACCACGGCAATATTCAAAGCTTGACCGCATGTTTCAACGATTTTTGGCGCCGCAAATATGTTCCGGATGATTTTACCCGAGCACAGATAGCAAGCATTTACAAAAGGGAGATCCAGATATATAATCCCGAAAACTATCGTCCTATCTCATTACTGAACACAAGTTACATTTTTTGCCGACATTCTCAAAAACGGATTTCTGACATTGTTGACGGACACTTGGGCAACACACAGTTCGGCTTCAGAAAAAGCAGGTCCACAGTCCACAGTATATAGAGCCAACATTCGGTGTCAGAAGACTCGCTGATTTCGCTGAGCAGGGTAACGACCCCCTGTGGCTCATCTTCTTAGATTGGGAGAAGGCGTTTGATAAACTTGATCATGATTTTTTTTGCATCATTATCTAGATTGAGCGTACCAGGTAGCATCATATCTGCAATTAAATCACTCTACAGAAACCCTGAGTTCAGAGTTGCTGTCAAAACCCACTTCAGTCCATGGCTAAAACAAAGAACGGGAATACGGCCAGAATGTCCTTTGAGCCCATATCTTTTCATCGCAATGCACTGCATGTTTCAAGATGTAAAAAGTAGTCTCAACGATCCAAGAAATCAAAATACCTTCCAAGGTATCAATTTCAATGAGCTGCTTTATGCAGATGATACATTATTGATAGCAAAACGTGCCAGGGTTGCAACCAAGTACTTACATTTAGTGGAAGCAGAATCTAATTATCTTCATTTGAAGCTTAATCAAGACAATTGTGCTTTTATTTCATGCAACTCAAACGGTAGTAGCTTCTTCTCCAATGGGCTGCGAATGCAGACGTCCGAAGATATCTCTTACCTCAGCATACATGTGACCAAGAAAAGCGATCCAACACATGAGATTAGGAAGCGCATCTCGGCAACTATGGCAGTCCTCAAAAAATTGGACATGTTTTGGCTCAACACTCGCTGCAGCAAAAAATGCAAGCTGTTAGTATACGATGCATGTATTACCAGCAAACTTTTATATGGTTTGGAAACTTTAGAACCCACGCAGGGGGTGGCGCAGCTTCTCAACACATTCCAACTCAAAGGACATAGAAATCCTTAATTTGCGAACTACCTACGTCCAACGTGAAAATACCAATGAATTGGTTTACAGCACAGCCAATGAAGCGCTCAATGTGCCAACTGCAGGGCCATTCAGGAAAGTAAAACCCATGACAGAGAAACTTGAAGAAAGGACACTCAAATTACTCGGACACATGCTCAGAAGAGAAAGACAACACCCTCAACACCAAGTTACTTTCTCCACAACATCAGCAATGCCAAGAGAACAAAAAACCGCAGGGTGGGTAGACCAAGACTCTGCTGGACCACAAACAACATGAAAGGCCTGGTATTTTTTCTGTATCAATAACCAAGCTCAGCCAAAAAACACCATTTCAACACGTATAATCGCAATATGAGAGAACAACTTATTGCACAAGCAAAGCAATATCAACCACCCTTTCAATAAAGTCTATTCAGAAAGCAGTCACAAGAATCGCCTCTCAGTGTGAATATCCTCAATGTGAATCCCAATGTGCATCTCAGTGTGAAATCACCTGACCTTCACACTTCATGCATTTGCTTATTGGATCGCAGTCAATGGTGGGGACAGTGAGTGTGCCGGTTAGGTTGTATATATACATAGTTTCTGGAAGTAGGTTAGTGCCAACGACTTGCCGCCTTGATAGGTAGGATAGTTATGGCGTTAAACAACATGTACTAGTTGTGCCAAGCTGAGGAAATGCTCAACGACGGAGATAGCTTCGTTCTCGATGCTCCAGAGAAGATCTACGTCCTGGATGGTCCCAAGGCCTCTCCCTTCGAGAAGCGCCAAGCCAACGAGACTGCTGAACATATTGAGACATCCAGGAGCGGAGGGAGCGGAGCTTCGGTTGGGTTCGGAGAGGGTGACAGTGAGAGTTTCCAGGGTGGGGAAACCGAATCCCAGAAAGGAAGCATTCACCATTAACTTGAACAGTAGTCGTTGACGTTGAAGTGGTCTGGATTGGTTTTGCCCAGGCATGGCAAAGTGCAAGCCACCCATGACATTGACGATGCTTTCTGGGCATTGTTGCCATAGAAGACCTGGGCTTGCATTTCTGAGTCCCTGGCCCTAACGCTCAGATCGATTCAGAAAAAAGAGGACGAGACCCGGGAAAGTGAGATCGTACTTACAGACCTGAGAGTGAATGCAAGTGCTGCAAGTGAGCAAGTTTGAAAGGAAGAGTTGAGAACCCAGATGAGGAACCTAAGACTAGCGATGGCCTCCAACCTAATAGCAATGGCCTCCAAGTTAATAGCGATGAGGTAATTCAATGCAATTTAGTAATTTAGCATCCTCCACTTCAGACACCATCAACCCGGAAAAAAAGTCCAATGGCAGGCCTCAGGGTGGTGACCGCCGGGAAGAGCGGCGAGACCGGGGCGACCGGGGTGACCGGGGTGACCGAGACCGTCATGAGCGGGATCGCGACCGTGGAGACCGCGGGGAGCGAGGACCTGGGTTGATTTCAGTAGTGGTCCTTTTGGAATTCTATCAGTATGAAGATGTATGAAGAAGCAGTATGAATACCACAAGAGCAGTATGAAAGCGTATGAAAGCCACGATTCTATCTGAAGTCTTGTGCAGGAGACCGACAGGAGATGGTTGCTAGAGCCTGCACCTACTGTGCCCGCCAAATCTTGTCAAGATAGACAGCTAAGCCAACGATGCCTGGCAGGAACGCCGAAGAAGCCGCAGTTGGACACTCGATGATTGTGGCAAAATCTCTAAGCACAGTGGCCCTGCTCCGCACATGGGGGGCAACGCTTGGTTTTGCAAAGGGTGGGCAACCGGCAAAACCAGCTGTTTAAGGTGTGACTTTCAGCTTTGTCACTCAGGCCGCAGGAGGAGAAGCCGAAGTCGTGGAGTTGGACTCTTAGCTCACCGGGGATGTGTTTCCGACGTGTGATTGCAAGTTGTCTGGATGTCACGAGTGATTGAGGCCAAAGTAGCTGCATGAGCTGAGACATTCTGAGCATTGCAGCGCTTGCAACGGCAGCATTCCGTCACCGCTACTTCCAGCCAAACCCCTGATACCATCTGAAAATATCTGAAATGTGAAGGTAGGCCTGTTCCCTCAGCGTGGCGGCAAGATCGGTTTCACTGTGTCTCACCTCTAGCAGCAGCACACGATTGGAGGATTGGAGGCCAAGTCGGAGCAAAAGATATACAATGTATTCCCCTGCTCCTGTTGGTTGTTGTTGGTGGTGGTGGTCGTGGTCGTCATTGCCGTCCTTGGTTTTCATCGCCTCACACATGGTGTTTGGGTACTTGATATTGTGTTCGGAAACGCAGCTGGATACACTTTGGGTGATGTGTGATTTGCTCGTTGGATTGTCGCTGCTGCTGCTGCTTCAGTTGCTCACCAAAGGGGAGGTGGCTGCTCCATCCTGTAATAATGCAGGCCAGCCACCTACGGAACTGGCTCAATGGGTTGTTGACAGCACTTGCAAGCCAGACAGCTTTGGCTTGAAAGCTTGTATCGTGAACTTGTTTGTGTCAGCTAGGTTGAGAGCTCATCATGCCCAGACTCTAGGCCGAAGGCACGAAAGAATGTGCAAGCCACAAACACCGTTGCAATCAAAGAAAAAGCTCCTAGTAGCGTCCTTTGCTCCTAGTAGTAAGGCCAGGAGCCCCTAGTAGCGTCCTTGCTCCTAGTAGCGATGCCCTGTGTTCCTAGTAGCGTCCTGTACCCCCGCCAGATAGTATATAAATTTCTTTGATTTTCCATGCTTTTTCAATCATGCTGCGCAAGTTGTTTCAATTGAGCACAACAAGGGCTTAGGGAGGTTGGTTTGTCAGATTTCTTGAGTGTGATCTATCGGGCGAGAGAACCCAAAAGGATACTGACTGGGAAACTTCTGTCAGCTGCTCCTGTTTCAGTTTGGAAGGCTAAATTGGCAGATCTCCTTTCCTCCCATGCGGGCCAGGCTGCTTCAAGAGAGATGCAGCAGCCAACCAGCTTTCTGTTTCTGTGTGCGCAAGGTGCACTTCTTGGTGACGTTCCTCCAACAAAGAGGCAGCACAACATCTGAAGAGTTTAGGCGTGAGAGGGCTTTTGTTTCTGCAACTTGCTGATGGAACATGGGTAAAGTTGATGTTGCAAAACCACGAACAATCAGTATGCTATGAACAGGACAGAGTGATTTGCTAAAAAGTGGGGCCGCTGCGACAGTGGTTGATGAGTCCGACAGGAATAGGCTGAAGAAACGCCAGCCACTCCAAGTTCGCGGCTACAGTTTCTCTGCAGAGGTGGGACATGGTGGGACAATCGAGGCACTAGTAGCTTCTTGTTACTACTGTTTGTGGAAAACGCTTAAAGAGTACTTGCATTCAAATTTGCCATTCTTGACCCTGACCTAATGCGATGCCGGACGCTCTGCCTGCAAAATAGATACTGTAAACAATAGTACTTGTAAACAATAGTACTCAGCCACTGGGCTCAAAGGCCTGACGGCTCAGGGTCACGGCGCCCAAGGGCCTCTAGCTGACCACGACGGTCAGGGGAGGTGTCCACAAGTGGATCTCCCAAGATCCACAGCCTGTGTGGATTGAGGCACTTGTTTTCACTTGGTAGGTGGTGCTTTCTTGCCATGGATGTGCACCACGTGATGCGGTTAGCAGACGACATTCTGCATGACCCACTTCGCTCCAAGCTCAAAGGACTCTTCACCGGGGTTTCGGAAACCACGTTCCTGCCTCGGTCTGGTGAGAGACACGTTTGTGCCGGTGACATTGTCCAATCTGGTGATAGCTGGCTTGACATTGCAGCCCTTCAGTTCATCCCAGGAACTGGATTTGCATGCTGCCATGACGCGGACCACATCATCAAAGTACACTTGGAAAGCCCCGCCAAGAGGTCCATCAGGCTTTCGGTTGGCGTGCAAGTCCTTTGTGCAGGAGTTTTGACCCGTCAATGCCCTGGAAAAGAAATTTGGCTGGAAGATGCAACGATATCATTCCGACCGGAATTTGTCAAAGAAATGGAATGGACCACGCTCCATCTATATGCTGGTGCATTCTCGGGCTGGAGCCAAGCTATGCATTGGCTTCATGATACCCAGGAATTTGTGCTCAATGGCCAGGAGATCTTCATCGATGTTGATGACATGGTTATGCAAGTATGGTCATTGAAAAACCACGCTGCAGTTCTCTCCACCCCGATTGCCTTTGATGTCGCTTGGGTGCCATCGGATCGGATCGGTGTCTGCGGCCGGATCCAAGATCCATCCATTTCGAACTTAGTACGAGCACAATGCAACTTACTGCAATCCATGAGCCCTCCATGTCAATCATGGAGTCGAGGCGGGAAACAGGCTGGCATTGGGGATCCAAACGGATTCTCGTTCCTCGAAGCTCTGAGTGTAGCAGCAAGATGCCAGTCAAACGTACTGGTTGCAGAGTGTGCTGACGAAATCGTCACGCATCAACACTGGCCATTCCTCCAGGAGTATGCTAGAATTCTTGGGTATAAGATGGTTTTCTCACAGGCAACTCCTTTGCACACAGTGGTTCAACACAACCGCACCAGGTGGCTTGGGGTCTGGGTTCGTGCTGATCACCAAGCCTTCCCTGTGGATTTTGTTCTCACACCTACTGTTTTCCCTCGGCCTTCATGGGGGGATCAGGTCCATGAGCTCCGAATCCCATCGGTCTGGAACCAACAGTTGAAATTGCGACCGTCGGAATGTGAATTCTATGATCGCATTGATCTTTTGCCACCCATCAAGAGGCAGAAGCAAAGTCGGTCTGGGTCCTCCCGCTCGTGTCAAGGCCTTTGGGCAAGAGTTGCTGATCCCTCAGAGCTGCTGCCAACGCTATGTGCATCGTACACTCGACAGCACTTGTTGCAGCCCCAACATATTCAGAACAAAGGGATTTTCGCAGTTTTGCAGCATGATTCGCAAGGATTCCGATTCCTTTCTCCAGGCATGTTTGTGTCCATGTTTGGAGCAATTGATGACCAGGCCTTGCCCTCAAAGATTCATGAAGCGTTTCATATTTTGGGTAACGCGATCACTGTGCCACACAGCATCCTCACGATTGCTGTCGCCTTCCTCTCCATCACCGGAGAACGCATTGATCCGCTCCAGTTGGTTCGACAGGCATGGGCTGCAAGATTGACCGCACATAACACTGTTGTGTTCCATCAAGGTGATTTTGTGCATTTCGTTAGAAACACGCACATCCACCAGTGGATGCAAGCATCCAATTGTAGCCGAAAAGAAAGTCTTGCACGAGTCAAATGTAGTGGCCATGTCCAAGAGGTGCCTTTTGATCAAGTCATCCCAGGAACCACTGAGGGAGCCATCATTGGCCAATCCTGCTTCCAAGGACCGTTGGACTTGATCAACCAAATTGCACTCGTCAATGTTGAAGCCAAAGCTAATATGCAGTTCCCAATCCAGACACTTGCTGGACTTGCAAGGGATTGGGACATTTTCGTAGGACATTGTAAGCTTGGGATCTGTCATCTCGATGTGATTGCTTCCGCACCTGCCACTGAGGTCATTGAGATTTCACCTACGCTACCCTTCGAACCAGAGGACCAAGTGGCAGCTTGCCTTGAGGACGGGCCCGAGTGGCTCTCCTTTGTCAACAGTGATTTCTTCCGAGTGGTGCAGGCTGTCATCGAAACACTGCAAGATGACAACACCACCAGGAGGACCTCCATCACGATTATTCAGCAAGCATCCAATCAGTGGACCTCTGTCAAGTGTTCAGGGTGTGATGCTCAGCATTGTATTGAAAAGTGTTCGGCGATCCAGGACTACCACACATCTGTACTGGCTCATGGGAGAGGCACTATTATTGCTTTGCTGCAACATGAACAGTTGGCAAACCGGATGCCTCTCATTGTTGTCGACATTGATCAAGATCCTCCGCTTGCGACTATCATCCAGGTCAAGCAATCTGCCACAGTTGATTGTCCTGTCTGGGTTGATGAAGAAGAGAAGTTTATCCAGTCGGTGAATGGCCAGTCCACATCTCAGCGCGCAGCTCTACATGCAGGAGACTTCATCTCGTGCCATTCAAGGCCCAAAATTTTTGCTGGTGGACACCATGCGAACCTGACGAATCCTCCATCATTGCCTGCTGGCTCCACGTTGACGGCAAGGTTGGAGTTCATGTCCAACACGCATGGATGGATGGCCTCCGATGAGATGTACTTTTACACACAAGATTTAATGTGGATGCAACAGGAGTTGAAATTTTCTCCTCCTGTGATGTGGGAGATCAACAAGACCACACTGGATGAAACTGGGTTTGGCGAGCCATGCATTTTCAATAATGCTACAACGGTCATTCCCATCATGATTCGAGCTCATTGGGGAGCAGCAGAGATCACCAAGCGAGATGGTCGCACTTTTGTCACGCTTGTGCAAGTGCATGAAGACTTCCGACAGAGTCTCATCCACATCATCACCAGGCTGATTGACATTCCTCAAGAGCGAGTGACCCTCCACTACACTGCGGAGAACTACCAACCACATCTGCGCGGATGGAACCTGATGATGCGCTGGTACTCATGGGGAGGCCATCATCTGCAGATTGATGACATTTCTGCACAATTCCAGCCTGATGCTCAAGTGTATGCTGCTCTGGAAATGGCAATGCAATGTTCCATTGAGGATTGGAGACAAGAGAACATCACTCCCGCTCTTGGTTCATTTGCACATAGACTTCGGAAGCGATTTTTGCTGACTCTTGCCCGGTTTGACCATCAAGGACGGCCTATCAACATTTGTGCACTGAATGTCACCCATCCTTCTGATCATGCTGCCGCTGCTAGCCAGAGCCAACCAATTGCTGTCATTGATCCCGTGCAACAAAGACGTCAACGCATTGAGTTGCGTTTGGATCATTTCCGTGAATACAGTGGCTGGCTTGCATCAGATGAGCTTGACTATGCTTTAGAGGGACCTCGTGCATTGTGCACAAACACGTTGTTCTGCGCACCTGCTACATGGAACACTCAGCGTGAAGAGCTGGTCTTCCTGAATGACATTGTCCCAGACTACTCGGCCTTTCGCAACATTTTCTGGATGATCATCGTCAACAATCACTGGATCCTGAAGCTCTCAGCAATGATGCTTCTCATTTTGTTGCCACAGTTCCAGAAGGTATGCGAGAAACCCTCCGACCCCTCTTTGATCATCTCGTCCACATCACAGAAGTTGACAGGCTTACACTCAGTTTTGCCTTCCAAAACCAGATCAGTCCGCCCCACATGTGCGGCTATCATTTGCTCCAGCAGATTTTTCGGAGGCTTGAAGCTGATCAGGTTGCTCTCCATGAGTCTCAAAATTTGCAACTGACCGCATCATATTGGGCTGCCACTCTTTCGCTCATACAGGAGGAAGACAGAGTTGTATCGCAAAATTCCCAAGCGTCAGCTGCATTGTGTGACTTCGCATTGGCAACCAAAGGATGGTTTCTTCTCAGAGTTGTTGAGAACCGATTTCCTGATGTCTACTTTGCCGCAGGCATGCAGGAAGAAGACGATTCCATGACTGGCGACACATCCAAAAAGACCAAGACTTCATCACACAATGCATCATCCAAGCCTAGCTCGACCGGTGAAGGCAGTGACCCATGGACGTCATGGGATCCTTGGAAGACTAAGCCACCTCGACCACAGCAATCACGATGGGAGGATCTCCAAGTCAAGTCTCCCTTGCCATTCTTGGGATCTGACTCCAAACCACTCCAGCAGACTCATCGTTTGCAGATTTCTTCCACTCGAGGAGGGGTTGTGTTCACAACCAAAGGAAACCTTTCCGAAGTTCTCAAGAGCAAAGTCCAGGGTGATCTTGTAGCAGTTCTTCCCGCAGGGGACCAGAATCATCTCAAGTTTGTCAGTGAAAAGCTGGAAGGACCTTTTGAGGTCACAGTTGACGACCCCACCGCACGCCTTTCGTACAAGCGTTTGATCCACTACATTGTCGTCCAAGGGAAGGTGACCTTCAAACTTCCTGATCCAGTAGTAAAACTGACCACACCTGCGATTTGTGAGATAGTGCTGGAGATTGATGGCCGTTTGCTGCCCAAATCGGACTTTGAGAAAATGAGGGACAATCCGATCGTCGCATTTCGCAAACTGGTTTCGGATATTGATAGCTCCATTGGCCAGCAAATTGTCCTATATGGCTTCCGGATGACCCGTGTGCCAGGTGGTGTCCAGCCGGACCAGATGATGCAGATTATCGCCAAGCTCCCGTACGCACAGCGGGCTCTCGTCCTGGAGGCAAGTGGCCAGACGATCATGTTGTCTCGAGATTTCCTCGACCGTGGAAAGAACACCTCTGACACCACAGTGCTGCCCAGGTTTTGGACTCCAACACCAGTCGAACATCAAAACATGAAGATTGCAGTGCAGGGGGTAGAAGGAATGGCAGGAATAGTGATGACCAAGCGAGGACTGGCGCCACGTATCTGGATTGCCAAAACCTCGCAAGCTCGCACACAACTCCTTTCGGCCGACAATCGACTCACCAAGGAGAACATGCATGTGGTCCCCCGTATCACGTTGGAACTTGCCGGCTGGCCTGCCGCCGCAGCGGCGTGATTTCATCCACCTTGCAAGCCTTGAAGGTTGCGGTGATTCCGCTTCGCACGTTCAGGGTCGGAGGAGTTCATGTGTGGTTGGTAACGACGGACACCAATCCACCGCAGTCGAGGTTCTCTGTGCAGATCAACTCCGAAGTCTCCGAAATACTCGTACAAGAGACTCCAGATCACAGCCACCCTCGGGGAGGGAAAGGCCAGCAGAAAGGCAAACAGAAGAAAGCCCCTCCTGCCACGGCCACTTGGACTTCGGCCAGCCCTTCGATTCCGCTTGCTAAGCCAGATGATCCACGAATTGAGAAGCTTGAACAGCGGTTCGACAAGCTCGAAGCTCGCCAGCAGACCTTTGAGAACAAGGTCGACTCACGCTTTGTAGACATTCAAGACTCTCTCCGGCAACTCTTGGCCCATGCCACGCAACGGCAAAGGGATGTCTCTGGCGAGACACCGCCGCCTAAGCAGCATAAGACGTCCTGACCCGCAAGGGCAGATGCCTCAGTCTTGCTCCTGTTCTTTCTTTCGTGGAATGTCGTGTACTTGGCCGCATGGTCCTGTTCGTTCATTGGCCAAAAGGCATCTGCCCTTTTTCTCCTTTTGATCTATGCATTCCCTCACGAATGCCTTGGGGTTGCCTGGACTTTGCATAGTGAACCGACATGTGTTCTTCCGCAAATCCGGCTGCTAATGTCTGTTCCTGGCCTTTGGAACCTAGTGTGCATCGGTCCTTCGTGGATTTTGCGCTTCGCTCTTTTGCTCCGGTTCTGTTCGTATTTAGCATACTGGGATGGCCAGACGATGAAATTTGCTTCCAGACCGAAATCACCTGCATGTTGGTCTTCCAACGTGCTTATGTCGCAGTGAAAAAGTGCTTGATCACTATGCAGCTCTGCACCTTCGGTCACTTCAACTGCCATGACATTTTTGGGGTCCACAATGTCATTCTTTTCTGGGTGAGCTCGACTTGCATTCATTTTTGGCCGACTGTGTACTTGCGAAACCAGTTCAGCCGACTTGTTGTCATGTGGGAACACCCTCAATTCGTTTTTGCCTTTTGTCAGCAGGCTCACTCTACTGTCCACTCTAGTGCACCAGCATTTTGCAGCGCCATTGGTTTCACTTCACGTCGTGGCCCGTGGGTCCATCGAGAGTTTGATTCTACTTTGGGCTTTCCAGGAGAGGGGCCTGACCCTCCTACCCGAATGAAGTGTGTCTCGAGTAATATTGGGTCTTTACAAACCAATCCAAGTTGGAAAACATGGGATGCCGATGTCATCTGTCTCCAAGAGACTCGTGTCGGAAAGAACAATCACAGGAATGCCAAGAAACTGTTCCAAACGGTCGGGTTTACATCGTGTTTGGGCGACCTTCTACCTGGGAAATGGCACGCGAAAGGGTCCACCCAAACCCCATGTGGAGGTACTGCCATTGCTGGCGGTTCTTCGTATATTCGTCCCTTTGCACAGGAAGAGGATCAAACTGGCTTGTACAAGCAACTTTTCGGCGCAAAGCGGGTCGTTGCAGCCTGGATTCAGGTCACATGCCATAAACATGCACTTTTCCTTTCGGTGTATGCTACTACCGGAGCTTCAAATGATGCTCGCATCCACGCTGAAAATAACACCCTTTTTGACATGATTTTGACTTTCGTTGCACAGTTCGGTCAGGTCCCAGTCATCATCGCTGGTGACTTCCAAGCTTTGCCTAGTAGCTATCCGATCTTGGCACACGCCTTCAATTTCCAATCCTGGTTTGATCCTATCACTACTACGGATTGCGAAGGCCACCTTGTTAGACCACTGACTTTCAGCCAAGATGGCGCCTTCTCTGGGCCGAATGATGGTTGCTCCTCGATCGATGCCGTACTGCTTAACAGCATTGCCTTCAATGCTCTTCATGATGCACGTGTCTTGGAGCACTTTGGCCGGCAGCGCCGTCCCATTCAGATCACGTTTGAATGGCCTTCGATTGAGCAACACGGGTTCATTCTTTTTAAGACTGCACCTTTTGTGCTTGATCATGTCAGTGAGAAAGATCGTAGTAATGAGGAACCCCCCCTGTGGGCTGCCACCTTCCGTGATGCTTTCCACCAATCTGAATCTTCCGATGAGAAGTGGTCCATTGTCAATGATTTTCTCCAAAAGAGTTTGTTGAGTAGGGGTGCGGTTTGGGGGAACGGACCCCAACAACGTGCCAGGCCTTTTTGTCAATAAAGCCATCGCCCCCAAACAGCTGGTGAATCACTCTGCGTGCACTGCGCGAGGCCATAAGCTCTCGAAGCTTATCAATCGCCTGAACGAACTTCAAATCCGATTGTCTAGACCTCCGGGTGCTGCACAGGATGAGTATATCACCAGGCAAACAGCCTACAAAACCTGGAGATCATTAGGTATTGTCAACGCTCCACTCGGATGGGAAACACCGTCTTCACCTTCGCTCACTGAGGTCTTTGTTGTCAGACAATGGGCCAATAAGGAGCTCCTTGCCCATGATTCCGAGATTCGGCTGCAGCGCATCAAACGATGGAAAAACAGAATCCAACAGTCGGCCAAAGGCAAGTGTGCTTACATCTTTAAGCATCTGCGTAATAAACAACAAGATGAACCGACTAATTTGGTCATGGATAAAGATAACAACATCGTTGTTGCACCACAGCATGCAATTTCGTCTCTTAATGAAACATGGGATGAAGTATATGCTGTTAATGTGTTGCGTGATCATCCATTGCAGATGCTCAACACTGTGTGGCCGTACATTCAGCACACATACGAGCCTGCAATTCTACCACCAATTGACGGTTCAGCACTTTTTCGAACCATCCAAAAGCGGCCTGTGTCAGCCGCCCCTGGCTTGGATGGGTGGAGAACAGCTGAACTTCAGCAATTCTCGCCTGCAGAACTTGAACCAGTGGCAAAGTTTTTTTGCACACATTGAAGATAGTGACCAACCATTGCCACAGTCACTCGTGTGTGCAAAGCAGGTCATTCTTAACAAACCTGGTCCTGCCACTCCCCTCAACAAGCGACTCATCACTATTCTGCCTGCCTTGTTGCTCGCATACACAGGTAGTCGCTTTGCCGAATTGCAGGAGTGGCAAAACAGTGTCATGCCACAAGGGGTTTTAGGTGGCATCCGTAACCGTCATATGTCCACGCTGTTTAACGAAATGCATATTGACCTTGATGCTGCCTTCATTGACAACACCCCTCTTGTCGGGTTGAAGCTTGACAAAGCAAAAGCTTTTGACCGAATTGTGCCTGAATCTTGCCTTCGGGTTGCCAAAAGGTTTGGTGAATTTCTTCCTCAAGATCTATAGAGGTCTCCACCGACACTTGTCTTATCGCAACTGGTGTTCGCCCCATGCAACAACTCCAGCAAACGGAGTTGCGCAAGGCTGTTCATTATCACTGCTTGCGATGAATGTATACAATAAGGTATGGTTCCACCTCCTTGAGCATTTGCCAGACATAACGGCAAGGGCCTTTATCGATGACGCATACTTGTGGTGCCGTCTAAGCAACATTTCAGCCATGCAAACGGCCATTGAACTCACCCAACTTTGGGACAAACTTGTTGGGCAGAAACTCAATGCAGGGAAGTCCTCTATGTGGGGCTCAACGGTGGAAGCACGGAAAACTATTAAGCTTACATTCCCGGAATTTCCCGTGTTTCTTGAAATTGTTGTGCTTGGCACTCGCATGTACTGCTCCGATCGTGATTGTTTTGGTTTCTGTCCTAAGACTGCGCAACGGATCTTGACAGACATTGACAACATTGCCGCCCTTCCTGTTGCTCACAAAACTCGGGTTCACCTCATAGGTGCAAAAGTGATTCCGCAAATCTCGTTTGGAGCTCACATTTCGAAAATCCCAAAGAAAGATATACAAAATATCCAGAATGCGATTGCCAAGGCCTTGTGGGTCAACCGACCAAAGTGGAGGTCCAAATCGCTGCTGCAGGCAGTTTTGTCCCAGCCACACCGTACTGACCCAGTGTTTGCAAATGCGTATAACACCATCTTTGAGCTTGTGAGAATGTGCCAGACTGCCCCATGGCTTATTCCTAAGTTGGCTCGCACCTTCAAGCATGAAAACAAAGCAAAACACTCACTTGCACATAACTTGGTGTATGCAACTCAAACGCTTGGCCTTGAGCTTGATAGAGACTTGTGTATTTCTTTTGAAGGGAGCAAACCCTTGTGCCTGACGCAGGTCCATCCCAAAGACATTCGTAAAGCATTGCAACTGATCACTAGGCAAGCCTGCTATGTTGCTACTCCCACGAATGCTAGGAAAGATTTCTTCAAGCCCAAGGGTATTTTTGATGTCTCGCAATCCCTACGTTTTGTGCACAACAACACATCGAATGATCAATGTACTGCACTTGATGTTTCTCGCTTTGAATCAGTCTCAGTTGGCTGCGTCCTGACCAATGATAGAATGGCAAGCACAGGTTGGGTCGAAAGCTCCGACTGTCGCTTTTGTCACACAACTAAGGAATGCCTGCCGCATCTTCTCCAATGTGAGAAGCTTCATGAGCTGATTGGCAAACCGGTCCCACACGAATTTGGGCCAAACTTCCTTACTATGGGACATGTTCACCATCCGTTGTTTGTGGGTCGGCGACGCCTCCTTCATTTGATTGCAAATGAGCTTGAAATCTCCCCTGCCTTTCAGGATGGAGAACCACGCAGGTTGTGGTCTGATGGATCCGTTGTTCACGCAGAACGTTTCTGGTTGACCACAGCCACTTTTGCAATTGTCGATTCATGTGGACGATTGGTTAAGAAAGGACAGGTCAACCATTGGAACCTGGCAGCATACAGCGCTGAATTATGGGCAGTTGTTGTTGCGTGTGCGGATGCCACACAACCCATTCAAATTTTTCCGATTGCCTCACAGTTGTTGAGCAAACGTCCATTGTTTTCAATGGAGGGTCCTTTGACGTGAACTGGGCTTGTAAAGAATGGTGGCAATTCTTGCAACGACTTGTGGCATTGCGAAAGCAAGTTTGTGACTTTCCTTTTGGCATTGAGTGGATACCAGCTCATTGTTTTGATGATTTGCCAGAATATATGATCACCGAAACATTGGCATCTTCGGCCAATACAACACGAGAACATGTTCTGAACAATCGAGCTGCTGATCGTTTTGCTAAAAGCTTGGCACATAAACTTGCACCCGTACACCCGGATATGCAACGTTGTGCTGACCGAGCTATTGAACAACATCATGCATGGTTGGTTGTGCTACATACATGGCTGCCAACTTGTGACCCTGCCACCAATGAGGAATTGCAGACAGCATCAAGCTCTCAAGAAATCACAATTGACCAATGCAGAAGTAGATTTCCAGCATGGCATTGGAACTTATCCAAACGCCATTTTCCGTGGCGAGCAAAGATTCCTTATAAGTTGAAGCAGCCAGCACGATGGAATCACACAGCGGCTGATTGGAGAACTGTTTGTGCTTTCTTGCGCAACTTGGCCTGGATGGTTGACCAAGACCAGAGTTTTTCCTTCACTGAGCTTGCAGCTGTTTTCCACCATGAAGGCTACAGACTTGAAGGCGACAACACGGTGAGAACGTTTTTTGATGTGTACAAATATATTCGAGAGAGTTTGATGTACATGAAGAAGATGCCAGAGTGTGACAGTTTCCCTGGAACTTTCGACACTGCCTTCCCACGATCGTGTGGGAGAGTCATGCCACAGGGATGCATTCGCGGTGCGATTCCCTTTTTCACCGACGAAGCACGGCTTCTCGTGGCCCGCCTTTTTGCGGCCGGGGCGGGCAGGACAGTTGATTCCTGGAAACTCCCGCTTGCTGACTTTTGAGCCTTTCTTTTGCACGCTTGTAGTTGTCTCTATCAGAGGTAGAGCAACACGCTCTGCTCATGGTTTCACATGAGACGTTTCGAGCGCGAGAGGTAGTAAACAATAGTACTCCATTGTCCTTTAGCATTGTTGCCACACCAGGTTATCAAGGAGGCCTTGCAAGTTTGGGAGCAGCGGACTTTCAAAACAACGAGGCAGGAGAAGAACTGAGTCGACAGGTCGCCGTTTCATGAAGGGATCCAGCACACCTTTACACTGCACAATGCTGCCTGCTAACCCCATGACTTCTTGTGGAGATAAAGAGTGAGCCTAGTGCTCCGTACGTTATCGAAGAGAAGGGGTCGTGGTTTTCTATGGCTTTCTATTCTACTGTGCTGACAGGAGTTCAGACTTGCCTCCGAGGCCTACCGCGAAGGGAGTTTCAACCGATCACACGAGTCCTTTGCCACTGGAACCCTTCATAGGTGAACCAGATCAACTTGGGACGTGTTTGAAGCCACAGAAAGCATGTTGGACAAACCAAGGTGCGGTCGCAGAACGTAAGACATGAAGAAGTGTAGCAATATCTTTGGAAAAAACATGTCCTGAGATGTCTCGGACATCAATCTGTGAACACGGAGTAGTCCAAGGTTCTTAGGCATCAGGTTGCTTCGCTCTCAGGGCTGAGCAAAGTCCTCACAATGATAGGGCCGATGCGGCCGATGCAGCTGATACGAAGGCAGCTGCTTGTCCTTCAGGGAAGTGAGTGAGGGAGTGATGTGGATGGAGGGGAAAGGGAAACGCTGGAACCAGAAGGCCGGAAGCATTGGACTTTACCCTGAACAAACATTCAAGACAAGGACGCCCCAATGCCTTAGTCTTACCCGACGAACTCTTGCAAGTCTTGTTCGGTGGTTTAACATTGGGCACCGTTTTTCAATGTTTTTGGGTCGTGGTTTTTTGGCCAAATATCACAGTGATTGTTGGCCCATTGTTCAGCAAGTGTGCATTAACAGTGGATGGAACGAGTTTGCAAACAACTGTCAAAGGCAAATGTAGAGGCAATGAGTGCTAGTGACCCACTTCAAGAGTTGCCGTTTGTGCTCAACTGGTGGATGTTTTGTTAATAACAATGCACATCAATGTATAGTAGTTGTGCAATGCCTGTACTATCAGAGGTTCCAAGTCCTATGGATGTCACCGGCTCGATTCCTTTTGTTCGTTTGGTGGCCGTGTCCAGGTCAGCGCACAGAGCACTTGGACAAAGCCCCAAGCTCCTCATGCAGAGCCTCAAGTGCCCGAAGTGGGCTTTCAGAAATTCATGGATGCAAGCCGCCGGAGGTTGGTGGGGGAGATCGGTGGAAATGGAGATTGAGTTGCTAAAGAGGGATATATAAAGAGTGGAGTTTGGCAAGTTGGGCACCCTTTTCCTACTTTCTGTGTGAAGTGCTTGCTTTTGTGAAAGCTATCCCGTCAGGACTCTGAGCAGATCAAATGCAGATGCAAAGAATGCAGATGGGGGCTGTCTCACGAGGCTGTGGGGTCTCAGCTGGTAAAAGCAACATGTGGAGACAACCCCATTCCGTGGGTGATGGACAGTGGGTAGAAGGGCATATTTCACTCTTCAAGAGCTTCTAAAGCCAAGCGGTTTGGCGTGGGTGTGCTGACTAGGGCATCGGTACCTAGTACCCCGATCCAATGCCGCTTTGGCTGTCTCCTTGTGGCAGACCAGGACCTGGATTGAGATGGCGGAAGCTCGTTTGGTTCCTGACCTGTGGTGCGGGGCAAGGTTCGTAAAGAGTTTTGAGTATAAATATAAGCTTTCCTCAATCGGACAGGAATACGTCGGAAAGAGCCGGCTGGTTGAGAGCAAGATAAGAAAGCATACTGTACCTCAGATTCTCAGATACTGTATCTCAGATGTTCCCAGTGATGTGTCAAGCTCAAAGCATTTTCTGAATCAGCTTACAGTAAGCATCCTTCGTGCCCGCCAAAGGCTTGCTTCTGTCTCCACTACCATGTTTGAAACACAGCTTTCTTGAGGCCGAACTCTGGGAGCCGCCCTTACTTTCGTCAGCAACGACTGCATTCACTGCGACATATGCCTTCTTTCGTTCCAACCCCGCCTGTCAAGGATACATGTCTGATAGGATGCCCGACGTGTCAGGATGCATTTACATGCATTTACCATATGTTCCTACTGTCAAGCCACCTCATGTTGATGCATGGTACTGTATTGGGTATTGGTGTTGTTCTTTGTTGGGCTTGCAGACAGACGCTGTCACAAAGTCATTTTGAATGCCTTTTGCGTGCTGCATTCAAATTAAAATTGCTGCTTTTGGCTTAGAGCATTATCAAGTTACTGGCGTTCGATCCCTTTTTTCCCACGTGCACTTCGCATGTGATTGAATACGGTGCGAAGCCATGGCATCATTCAGCCGGGGCAAAGGAGCACCACGAGGAGCCATTCAGCTTCGTTTAATGCTTTCTGATCTTGGTTGCACGATCATCTTTGAAGCCCTTTGCCAACAACAAAAGTACCATTACCGCTTGTCCTCGCAGGATACAGCTCTTTCGGAGGCAGTGGTGAGAGACGGTCGGGAGGAAGACGCTTGCACAATCCTGATGATGAGATCGATTTGGACTTCTCTTCTACCATCGAGGCTGGAAGCTTGACATTTAGCCGCCCACATGGGTCCCTAAACGCTTCTGAAGGGCATTTGGCAACGACCTTAATAAAATTATATAGTTACTTCTTTGTAGCCTTTGGAAGACCTCTTTCATGTCCGTTCTTGCAAGTGTTATATAACGATGTGGCTCAGGTCAATTTGAGTTCTGGCCTTGGGACTGGCGTGCGCCGGGAGTCTTTTGGCTTCAGCTCCCACTCACTTGGCACACGAAAAGTCATAGGCAGGGAATGGGCAGGCATACTCTTTTGCCAATGCACCCATGCTCTCCTTTGATCCGAGTTTGGGTAGAGATCGTTCGTGAGCAGCCGTTGGGTTTGCTCCATGCTCTGACTGGTGCACTCCTGTCCAGCAGGTGAGAGAGCGACGACGAGCTTCCAGCACATGCCCTCGCATCGCATTAGTGCAGGTGCGGATTTGTCGTTATCTTTCTGGCTGCATCTTAATTCGGGCCACAAATGCCCCCTTCAACAACGTGTGACGAGGATTCGATTCCTTTGGCCTGGTCTTGTTTGATCTGACCTCGACTCATTATGCCTCACCGTGTGCTCGCAATGTCAATCTCACTTTCCTCACATATCCGTCCACTGAAACCCAAAAGTCCCGTCCACACTGCTTCAGAGGTCTGGGCAGCCAACAAAGATCAACAAAGGTCGATCCCACGATCCCACGGATTTGCCATGTGTAGAGAAGTAGCCATAGCGCACGAAGTCCACGGCAAAACGAACACGAAGCAACGACGAGGTCGAAGCTAAGGGCAAAGGCGAATGAACGCCACACGCAGCTTTTTGCAAGCTTCTCGAGCCCACCCTCTACGGTGGGATATGGTTGGTTTGAAAAAGAAACTCATGACATGACATGTCAACTGGGCGCACAGCGTGCGTCTCAACATGGGGGGAAATGTTCATCCCTCAGCCCATGGAGATGCTGCGGCCAAGAAAGCATCGAGCTCCGGTCGGATGGTCTGTGCATGCTCGTTCGTCCTATCTAGTGGTGGTCTGTGCATTGCACAGTATGCACATGCTCTACAAACATACAGCGGGCCGTTCATCTGCTCTACAATGTGGCAGGTTTCATGGTGCCAGCACACAGAGGTTCGTGAGGTCACGATGTTCCTCGAGAAAGGGCACATGGAGTTGTGCCACTCCATCTCGAACTTCAGCCGCTTGATGAGCTGGTGTGCCGTGCCAACCAGGGTTCGGAGGGTCTCCACTTCATCGACCAGGAGGTCCAGTGCGGTCCTGGACTCTTTGGCTGATCGCGCAGCCTCTGCACTGCGCTGTTGCTCCTGTTGGAGTAGTTCTCGAAGTCTTGAATGCACGATGGGACGATGGGTTCATCTTTCTGAGTCTCAGCCTCTTTGGTGTCGATCACATTCTCCTTCTTCTGGTCCAGGCGAGGTGCAGTCCAACGGCCGATCATGAAGACGGTGGCCATGGCAAGGACATGCATCATAGCCAGGATGGCCAACCACAGCCATAGTTGTCCCTCTTCATTCTCCTTCTCCTCTGCTTCAGCCACGCACTGTTGACCCTCAGTCAAGGTCGGCATTGAGGCCAGCAGCAACATCACGAAGATATTCGAAATGCGACACTTGAAGGTGGTGTCCCGAAGCAAGCCGCCATGGCTCATGGCGAACGCATACGTTAGAGGCTCCACATTCTGGACACAAAAGACACCGTCAGGAGTCTCCTCATTCCTTGGCTGGTCCTCATTCGAAAAAATCTCCGGATACTCCGAGACGCTGACATTGGCAGGAATCTGCTCGTCCACAGGGTTCTCATTCTCTTCAAGGTGTGGTGGAACATGAGGTGCTGCTGCAGTGGTTTCTGCTATGGCCTTAGCCTTCTCCCCCTTTGTCTTCTTCTTTGAAGCCACATGCTCGGGGTCCCAGGTCAACTTGATGCGGCGGTGCCGAAGGCGGGCAGCAAGTAGCGCTCGAGCTGACTCCTTGGTGAGTCCATCAGCCACCTGACGCTCAGAGCTCATCCACCGAAGTTGGCCACCCAATTCTTCCATCATCTCTTTCATCACACGGATCTCAAGACTGACCCGTTTGTCGCCGATGAACTGACTCCTTCGCGGTGGTAGGAGTCGTACAGAGCCTTGGCATCAGTCACCATCGTCGGTGTCAAAGTAGACGTTGACTTCAACAAATCCTTCAACTTGAGATTGGGATGGTGAAGATAGTGCCAATACTTGCAAGCGAAATCAATGCTGTCCACAGCTTGTCCTCCAGCCTGGGCCTCTGCAGCCAGTGAGCTTCGAGTGACCCTGGGAGTGCGGAAGCTTCGCCAATCCAGTACGTGGTACTCGCCATCAGTGCCAGAAGTGAACAACTGTCGGTTGACAAACATCAGGATGTAGCCACCTTGCGAGCTGCCGTCGGACCTGGCAGTGAAGCCAGCATCAAAGAAGCACAGGAGTTGCAGTTCGCTGGGTTGTCCAATGAAGTTGTAGTATAAACTGACATCCTTGTGTTCCTTGGCGAACTTCAAAAGCCGATTGCAGTCATGGACGGTCTGAGTGGTGGCCTTGTTCACTTGACCTGACAACATGGAGGTCGAGCACTGAAGGTGAGGCGAGGTCTGCACAGCGGGCCACTGCAGGGAGCCGAGGATGCCGCGGACTTGAGTGATTCCCTTCTCATCAAGCGGCTCTTGCAGATCACGGTGCTTGGAGATGGTGATGGGCTTCACCTTGCTGAAGTAGTTTTCCTGATGTAGGCGCCTGCCACCCTCAGGAGTGCGATCCAGTTCGCATCCACAGTACTCCAGCTTGTCGTTGTCCTCTTTCCATGCCCGAAATGAGAAGGTGGAACGCAGCATGTCGGTGACTGCTTTGTACCTGGGAGAACGAGGACATCCAGCACCCAACATGTCATCAACGTGCATGATCACCATGCCGCATAGTTTCTCTGGGCCAAGAGTGCTGGTCTCCGTGTGAATCGGATCATCTTCGGAGTACTCAGGATCGTCCTTCTCGTAGATGAGGAAGGCACATGGGTCAAGTGGATGCTGTCTCAAACCTGCCCTCAGCAACCGATCGACTGCCTCCAAATACCAACCACGAGGGGCATCTGTCTGGCCGTAGCAGGGCTTCAACAAGAGCATCCTCGTGTCATCTGACGCTCCCAACAGCTGAAGTGCCTCTGCTGGCAGCTTGACCCAGAGCTTGCGGGTCTGTGGACGACCTTGGAGGAAGGCAGTGCTGACGTCTGCTGTCCATGTTGGCCAGCGAAGGTTTGCCGCAAGTGACAGGACCGTGGATCTTGACAGCCTTGTAGTCGTTGGAGAGGATGTGGGAATTGTCCCTGCCAGCGCGTCCGGGTCGGCAAAACCTCGAACGATCAATCGGGCCTTCGCCCGTGGAGTGCCATCTTCATTCTTTGACCACTTGAGCAAGATGCGTGAGGTCAAAGTACGGGCTTCATCAGCTTCAGCGGTCGTCTGAAAAGCCCAGACTCC